ATGTTCTTCATTGCATTCATTGTTTTGTTTTTATTGTTTCTAATCTGTTCAATTTTTAGTATATCCAAAAGTGTTTTCTGCAGCTGTTTGAAGAAAACAAAGGCACTGTGGTAACTATTGTTGATTTTAGAAGTCTTGGAAGTCCTGTAACACTTAGTTTATTTTGATTGATTTTATTGTTTATTTTCCTTGGTTTTCCCATCTTTAAAATAAAAAAATAAAAAGGAAAAGAGAGAAAACCACAGCTGATGGGCTGACTCCAGCTGCTGCTCTCTTGGGTCCTCTAGTTCCCATGCCACTAACTTTTTGGTTTACTCGCAGCCAGTGACTAGACATGGCAAGGGGACCATAAGGTGTCCAAGGGAAAGTAGATAAGAAACAGAGGCTGGGATCTTACGTATGTGTGCCAGCTCCACACATGGAGTGTCAACATCCCATACTGCAAACATGGACAACACACACAAAAAGGAGGGGATCAAGAGATGAATGGAGGGGGAGGGAGATTTAAAAAAAGGAATACAGATGCATTCTGTACATGCATCAAGCCCTATGAAGAATGTAAACATCATGCACTACAAAACATGTACTTACAGAAAAAAATAGCGAATGCATTTTTTAAAAAAATTACACTGACATTAATCCCCCTCAAAGTATTCCACCTCACTTCAAACTCACTGATATGGTTTGCATCTAGATGTCTCCACAAAGCCTCACCTGAACTGCAGAACGGTGTTTATGAATTAAGGGTGTGTAGAACCCCAACCTGGGTATGGGTGATGCCAAGTCAACAGATTTGTAATCTGGATGACAGAGAGAAAGGAAGATGGAAGGCAGGTCTCTCTGCCTCCTGCCTGCCCAACCATGAGTTGGCATGCCTGCCATGCCTCCTTTGCCTTCAAGCCAGCTATGGACTAAAACCTCTACATACTGTGTGAGCTAGAATAAATCTTCCTTTAACTTGAAGGTTTCTGACATTTTGTTCCAGCAATGAGAAAGCAACTAAGACATAGACTCAGCCCTCATTTATGCCACTTTTAAATTAGTTCTCAAAATTCTCTTGAGTCTTTACTAGTACTATTGTGGTTGCCTTGTCCTGGATAAACTGAAAATGTTCACCTGTTATGGTCATTTAGACTGAGGAAAGGCCAGTGACAAAGGTGGATAAGGGCACAGTAATGTTTCTTATGAGCCTGCCTTTCCACTACATGGCACTTGTCTGCAGTATTTACCGTATTTTTAAAATCACACCTTGCATACTCAGAGGACTTCTAGAACTGCTTAAAGTGGCAAGAACATTGGACTAAGTGGATTTGAATAGAGAAGAAATATTGACGATTAAAAAATTAATGTTTTAAACAGATTTTAAAATACTTACCATATAGTTTGATCATCCTTGTAGGTTTCAGGTACAACCACTGATTTATTAAGTGCAGTATCCACACCCCCCCCCCCAATCAGGGAAGAATACCTTAAAAGTTTCTACTCATGTGGAATAGAAAATATTTAGTTTTAAAAAAGTACTTAAGTTTTGTCCCAGGGTAACTTTTAACCATGGCACCTTTAATATGTGAATTACAGTAAAAACTGGATTTAAAGAAAACCTTACAGTACTGAAAGTACCAGTGAGAAAATATCAATGTAGAATCTGTGTCAAGAGATCTTGGAACTAAGGAGGGGTTCCCAAATATGTATGAAGTGCATGTGTACAATTTTAAGGAGTAAATGCGGTTGTCAGTGGAGATGTGCCACCCAGATGTCTTCAAGAAAACTGGATGCCACAAACATTTAGTGGACAGCTTCCAACTGCCTCTGTTGACCCTATGCACAAACTGAAGCCAATTCTTCAGTCCACTCTGGCACACCAGTCAGACCACTTCTGTCCAACATAGGACTACTTTTAATAGCTAACCTGCTCCAACACTCCTCTCCAGGTCAGTAGCTGACCGTCTGGCGCTTTTTACTCAATTTTCCCTTCTGCTCTTCTATCACAGCTGTTATCATTCGCTTCCGAAGGCATCCTACCTACTTCTCCCTCTCCCTTGTTTTCTTCAAGGGACCTCCCTCAACCCATCTAACGTATCTGACTCTACCTTTCTGTTTACCTTTTGGAGGGTCCAAGACACTAGCATGGGCACTCTAACCACGAGCTTGCTATAATAATCAATAAATCAGTGGGACAGACTCTCCAAAAACCATACCCTTGACTTTACCCAAATTTCACGAAAACAGTTTACTGACCTGATTCATGCTCTCACTCTCTCTAAGTTTACACTGGGGAAAATTACATTTCACAGAACATCAACAGCCAAGTACTGGTGCAGCCCCTGCAGAGCTTGCTTCATGAAGCCTTGCACTGCATTAAATTCTTCCTGTATAACTCGTAGTTGACTACAGAAGAACTACAAAACAAAAAAACTAAACAATCTGCCAAAATCAATTTATAAAGTCAACATTTACCAAGCTTTTCAGTCTTTTTCTCCTCAGCAGAATATATTTATTGAGAGAAAGCTTCTGTCTGGAATACAGAAGGGTTCCCCAGGGGGTTGTCCCAAGCTTTTCAGTCTTAAAAGTTCACAAGGATTCACTGCCTTACTTCTTTTTGGTTCTACAAATCCTACTTAATGTGAGTGGGGACTTTCTGTTCTACTTGGGATGACTTTTATGAGAGTATCAATGAACTCTTTTACCTTTCTGGATGCATTTTTAATCAAAGCAACACTCTGGGTTCACTGAACAGGATATATCCATTTTCTTTCTGCAGTAAGAAATTGTACTAATGCCAGTCTCAATTAATAAGGCAAGGGATATGACTCAATGGCACAGCGTCTAGAAAGCATGAGGTCCTAAAAAAAAAGAATTTTATGGATAATTGATGTCTTAGTCACTTCTGTTTTGTTGCCAAGACAAAATACCCAACACCTAAAGTTAAAGGGGGAAAAGGTTTATTTAGTTCAGTTTGTAGAGGTTTCAGTCCCTAATTGGTTGGCTCCATGGCAAGGTGGTACATGGCAGAAGGGCAACAGTTCATGGCAATAGAAGAGAGCAAAAGCAACAACCAAGGAGGAAACAAGTCTCTTATATTGTATCCAGTCTACTGAGATTAGGGTGAGGCCAATCCAATCAATAGGCTGACCCAGCATTGACTGACCCTTAATACTAGCACTGAACCATGAATCAATCACCAACCTCAAAAAAAAAAAAACCACTCCCAAAAGCGCGTGAAATTGGGAAGATATCTAGACACAAACTGTAACAAATGCCTACAGTATATTCTATCCATTTAGTCTTCTATACCAAGAGTCAGACTGTTTTGTACAACCTATGGAGATGAGAGGCATTTACATTTTAAAAGATTGTTTTAAAAAAAAAAAAATCCAGAGATTATGTAGACAGCAGCACCTGAAATATCACTTGCCTTTTAGAGTAAATTGATCAATCTCTATTCCAAGGCAAGTAATTTTTATTCTGCTCCCAGACCTAGGCATTGAACCTAAGGTGCTAGCCAAGAGCTCTACCACTGAAATTTCTTAAAAAGACAAGAGCTGACAAGATTTAAGACAGTGGTAGTCAAGTGTCAGTACTGAGTGTCACGTGCCCTTTGTCAAACTGCACATTCTTGGCAACCCAATGATTCAGTTCAGTGAGGATCTGCATTCTAAACAAATAATCCAAGTAAATATAAGGATAGCTCAAGGACACTTTGTTAAAACCTTCTCTGGACAGTCTATGATTGAAGAGGGGGGAAGTAACTTCAGACCATTAAGAGAACTGCATTTATTGGCCTATTACTTTAGGGTCATGCCTCTATGGCGAGGAGGCATCTCAGTATCAGGAAATACATACTGCTTTTCCTGAGCAATAAATTGCTTTCATCTTTAGGATGCATGAATCATCTAATCATTTTAATCTACAATACCAATTTCTAAGCAAATACATAGCTGGTAGCATGAATTTTCAAGATTTAACCCTTGCTTCTGCTTATTTTCTATCTTGCCTTCACCGAAATTTTCTCTTAATACATCTCTATAAATCATCTCAAATCATTCTGGGTGAAACAAGACGTTACCATACTATCCTAAATTCTTACTTACTGTACATTGTATGCATATTCTTTAAGCCAACAGGAACTTAATTTTCCCAGTAGGAGAACAAAATATAAATTTTTGTATGATGACCAGCTGACAGTGCAGAGAATTAAGTGAGGTTTTTGTCCTTGCATACAATTTCTCAGACAACAAAATATAAAAGAATTTATCAGTTTAGATCACTAAAAATGCCACAACTCCACATATAGAGTGTTCCAGTCAATAAGAGCTTGTGAAATAAGTTTGAGTAGAAAACCTGAAAGACAACCAAAAAAACAAAAACCTCATCCTTAAGAGTTAAAAAATAAAAAAAGATTCAGTATTTTTGAATAAGGTTTCAATAACCGATGTTTATAGAATGGGCAAAATTTATTAAATATTTATGTGCTAAACACTATACATATAGTACACACGTTAGGTTAATAAAAACTGGGTATAGTTATTTTGTCTTCATTTTTAACAAATATGTTTTGAAGAAGGTAACTTTTCCAAAGACCATGTAATCACTAAGTGATGGAGTTGGGGTATAAATATCCGACTACAGAATGTAGTACAGAAAATAGAAAAAGTACATCCCTTGTCAGAAGTTTTCTTAAGAGATTAAAAAATACATCAATAGTTATTCAGCATGGACAGATAAAGTGTGAAGGGACAGAGAGAAATCTATCTAATACACATTTTACTGCCTGCTTAGGTGCCAAAGGAGTAATCTTTTCAGAAGATATGACAGAAAAATCAGAAAGCAAGAAAGAGTTCCATCTTCCAACAGGTGAAGAGTAGGGAGAATTGGAAAAAAAAAAAAAAAAAAAAAGACACATGGAGCTATACTGCAATTCTAGATATCCATACTACAAGAGAATTCATAGTGGACAGAGTAGGTACAAACAGTTGCCAAAGAACAAGTCATGCTCCATGTTGTTTTATTTCCGCTTCATGGTGTTTTTATTTTATAAAACACTGAATCAAACAGGTTAGAGTGATTGCTTTCTTGTTCTGTGTATTTCTTTTCTCTCCTTGAGAAAACAAAGTCAAGTCTATCTTCATCCACTCTATTAATGATGTAATGAAAGACCACTGGTTACTTCAAAAGAACCTGTGGAAAAAATATAACTCACTTAAATCATAGATTTAAATAGTCTCTGTAGTCAGGACAGGGAAAAGGGTAAAAAAGAAAATAAAGTGTGACAATAAGACATTTACAAACTGGTTATTTACAAATTGGTCAGACTGTACTGGGGATACAGCTCAGTGGCACAGCACCTGTCTGGTAAGCACTAGGTCCTGAGTTCAATTCCCAGTGCTCAAAAAAAGGCTTCATTACCAGAAACAGTTTTTTATCTTGTGTTCTTACCTAATCAAGGTGCACTCTGATTGGGACTCAGAGGATATTTAGTATTCTTGTCATTCAGTTAACTCATTCTAGGAGACTTTGAAGTGCGTATTTGCCTTGTAAATCTTTTTTTAAAAATTGATTAATTTTCATTTTATTGTACTCTAGAGTAGAGTACAAAACACCACTTACTGTCTTTTATTCAGCCTTGCTAGATTCTAAAATGTAAGGAATTATAATGCTGGTACTATGACTTACATTTGTGAAGCAGTATAGATGCCCAGACAGATAATGATACAAAAATCACAAATGATGAAGCAGATGAAGAGCAGGAAGACAGAGACAAACACAAGCGGCAGGCTGAGATGAAAAATGGTAATTTAGGCTAAGTAAGTTCAGAAGGGCTCAGAGAAAAAGAAAACTATCCAGACAGACTCGGGTTAGAGATTAGAGGAACAAAAGACAGGGAAAGAGAAAAGGGAGAAATGGAGTCAGGCAAGCAAGTGGAACTGATGAACATGCACAGTGACAAGGACATGGGATTGGATTAAAAAAGAGCCCGTGGAACAGATATTATCCCCGGGTCTTTTTCAAGTCACATTATTTAGTTGTTCCATGAGTATTCCTTCAAAAAAGGGAATAGTCTTAATTTTACAAAATGGTTAAGTGCGTATTTGTCTTGTAAATCTTTTTTAAAAATTGATTAATTTTCATTGTATTATACTCTAGAGTAGAACACAACTTTTGTCATCACTAAAGGTCACCAACATACTGGATTTTAAAAACTCATTCTGTATTCATCCGTTGTTTTTCAAAGTAAAGAATGGTAAAATAGGGGCTAGGGATTTAGCTCTGTGTCATAAGAACCTGCCTGGCAAACTTAAGGTCATGAGTTCAATTCCTAGTACCAAACAATCAAAAACACCCAATTGACATGTTGATGTCAAGAATGGTAAAATATCAGATTAAGACAAACTCAACCTACAGCAAAGACCTTAGGGATTTATAATTATGTGCCATAGTATGTAATCATGCAACATGTAACACTGCTATCAGATTAAAAGCATTATTAATTGCAAATAACTTACCATTCAAAGTCAAAATCCAGCAATTTCATTCTTGTTTCCACTTCGCCTCCTTGACTTTATTGGCTGTTGGGACTCCACTGTAGATTGTCAGTAGACATCAATCTGAAGAATTCCTTCCTCTGCTGCCACCTACCAGTTTATTTCTCTGCTGCAGCAGAAGGGTATATAGAAAAAGTTCTTGCTTACTGTTCAGATTTCAACAGAAAAAAAAAATATGTGCAGCAACTTTTCCATGTCTCTTCCAGATATCCCCACCACAAAAAAAAAAAAAAATCAGAAACTAAAGTCCCAATCACAGAAAAGGAAAACAAAAACAACCAATGATCAATGCTCATGCTAAGCTGGGAAAATTTTGAAAAGGAAAAGGAAGGAAGGAAAGAAGTGGAAAGATCTGGACACGGAACTGCTGCTACCTCAAGGAGTCATCCCTGCTCTGTTATGGTTTTCTTTTTTTTACCTACTCCTACAATCTATCAACACTTATATAATTTGCGATTCTAATAGGAAGTCTACAACTCCTGCAAAATTAAAGTTCAGAGATTACCCAAAAAACTGTGGAAGATGCATTATTATAAAGGTTTTTAAAGTAATTCTAGAAACTAGGGGTGTTAGGTGCTTTACCTGCTTGAGTTTTCAATGTTCTGGACTGCTTATTGCCCAATGGCTCTGAATACATTAAAACACGAACACATACGCCACCTATATTTAAAATAGGGTAGCATTTGTATGCCCACATAAGCACCAAGTATTTTTTTTTTTCAAGTGAATGATACACTCATTAAGTCTCTTAGGACACTAATCATGAACGTGCATTTCCTCAAACCGTTTATGCATATATAGAAAAACCAGGGGGAAAAAGACAGAATGACAAATATCACAGCAGTTGTAGAAGAACTGGGCAATAGCACAGCATAAATGTTCCGTGCTCATTAAAATCTAAGATTCATTTATATTCTCATTCTTTGTCATTTCAACTTTTTTCATTTCAAACTTATTATACATTACCCAGTAAGAGACAGTATGTAGTAATGAGTTAATTAGTAACAGTAATGGCTGTTTTTGTTCTACCCTCCCAACTACCTTTACCCCAAAACTAATATATGCATAATTCTGACAATTTTGAAAAATATCAAGAAATAATACAAACACTGACACAAACACCAAAAGCTAGTCAACAGTGGCACTGCAATATTGTTTCTACTTTCTCATTCCTTCCCCATCTCAAACCCCACCCTTTTGACCTCTGTATATGGGATGAGCCTGAGCAGGAGAAGTTGGTGATGTCAGGACTGCGCCGTTCCCACGGATGCTCCTACAGGCCTGCTGTGCTTCTGGGAACTGGGCACAGGGATGTCTGTCTGACTGAAACCTAAAACAACAACAGTTCACCCCACCCCTCATGTTCCCAAACCCCACAGTAACAGCCAGGTATATATACTATATAAATAAGGTCCACCTAATAAATCTGAACATGGTAAAATGTGAAAGTAAGATAATTCTTTACAAACCAGTAGTATTCAATGTGGGCAGCAGAGGGAAGGTTTTTTAAACTCTCCAATGCCCTATGCAATCACGTACTCTATACATTCTAACTTTGGCCATTCTTATCAGCAAGAGAACAAAGGTCTCCTGAATAAGCATGAATATACATCATCTATTCTGCAGGAGTAGAGCTGGGATTCTTTTATTAGTAAATTTCAGTTTGACAGATAATTACTTTTATCTAAAGGTGTTTAGGTGCTGTTCCTATCTTATAAAAATCAAGCACAAAACAGGGCTAATGACACTAAAAACAGCACCTATGGCCAGGATTTCCTATTTGCTAGTGACACAGGGACTACAAAGTACTTTAGATAGGACATTTAAAGTCACAGGATAAAATTATGCAGATGCATGTGTTTGAAAAAGTCCCAACTACTTTCACATAAATCTTATCTACTAGAAAGAGGATCATCTCCCAAAATGATAAAATACAGCATTTTTACTGTCATAGTTTAAGACCAAAAAAAAAAGCAGAAAGGGGCAGATGGACTGGGACAGCCACTCTTCCAGTTTACTAACAGGAAGGCTATCAAATGAACAGTTGTATTCTTGCTCCTGCCACTAATTTAATTGTCATGATATTAATCTGTTTAAACACGCTGTACTTCAGAAATACTGCCTTATCTGCTTCAAACCTATAATTTCTGAGTGCTTAAGTCATGATTTTATAACCTCAAAAAGTGTTCATGTTTATTTCTTTGACAGTGTCTTAGAAATGCTAAAATGACAGTTCTGATGTATTCCTCCTAAATAATGAGAATTCTATTAATCTATGTTTCATCATTCCCTTTCATTTTTATAATTATGTTACAAGAGAAGTGCTAAGCTCAACTGAATACTATAGTGACTTTGTATCATACATATAACCTAGAACCTATTTTACTTTTTCAAAACTGGTTTTCCATACCTGTCAACTCCTAATTGATGTCTTTATACTGTGAGCTCACTGTTTATTCGGAACACCAACCCCTGAAAAAGCTTAAGCCAGAGTAGGACAATGGAAGAAACAAACAAACCCAAAATGAAAACAAAGCCAAAAGTCAAACTCTGAAATACTTAATTATAGACATATATGCAAGGAATGGAATTATCTAAATGGCTAAAGTCCTGAGTTCATCCCAATCAAACTTCATAGCCAGAAGCTCTTCCTCAAGCAAATTATTTGGTGAACATATTTATGCATTTTTAAAGTGAGAGTTATAACAAACCCATGGTTGCCTTCATAGTGCAAGAAGAAAGGCAATTTTTTATAAAAGAAAGTTAAGTTAGCCTTGTGGCGGAAAGAAAAAGAAAGAGTCAAATTACCTGCCAGCAGGCTGGGGCTGTGACTGAATCCAAACCGCTGCATTTAGCATTCATTACACAGCTGCATTATGGGGGAAGGGGAGTTTAGAAGGGCACTGACCCCGAAAGTTCTCAATACTTCTCACTCATCATCAGGAAGGGGGAAGAAGGAAAGTTTTTTCTCTGGGTATATTTTTGTTTGTTTGTATTTGGTTTTTTTGGCTCCTGAAAAGGCTGGCAAAGAACAGTAACAGTGCAAACAGTTAGAATATTTCTTTAAAAACGATTTTCAAACTGTAAAGCATTAAGGAACTTTAAAAGCCAAACTTTCGTTAATATAGAAAAAATTTTTCACTAAAGTTAGGCAGCCACCCCAAAACAGCATGGCAAAATGGTACAGATATAAAGGAAATAAAATCACACAAAAATCCAAAACAAAACTAAAAACATTTCAAATTAAACCTGAAAGACTAGAAGATTCCAACAGCAGATTTCTGTCCACTACTGAAACATTCCAAAATCCAAGCTTGAAAGGTGCCTAAATTTTATGTTAAATAAAACTTTTTTAAGAAAGAAAAAAGAAAGAAAGCAGTGAACCTGGTTATAAATCCTGCAATATATTACATTTTTTAAAATCCTAGTACAACAAAACAAATTTTAAATAAAATTAAACAAACAAACAAATAAAAACAGTAGCAGCAGAGGTTACCTGTCTGAGCACCTACATTTTCTTAGGAGGGGATCGTGTCTCACCAGCCACATAGCCCATAAACCTTCTCAAAAAAAAGCGAGCCAGGAGAAAAATGTAACACAAGATTTGATTTCACAATGTCTCTAAGCCCCAAAACCCCAAACTGGGGGTTCACTGAATGAAGAGAATTTATTTTTCCATTGGTTTCTTCTTGATAAAAAGAGATGATTTTTCAAAGTCAATGACTTTTTCAATGCCTTCAGTACCTTTTCTCAAAGTCTGGTAAAGTGCTTGATGAAAGCAAGTCTCTTGTTGGATTTTTCTAATGTTCCAGGATATTTTTCTTAAGGAGAGCACATATAGAAAGATTTCAGAGTTCACTGGAGAAAAGCCAGCAGAAATAAACAAGTATAGGCACCAAAAAAAGAAAAAAATGCTATTAAAAATTTTTAAATAGAATAGTTCATATGTATAGATAGGAAAGTCCAGTTTTCATCATGGGTGACATAAAAACAATATCAGAAAGAATTATTTAAAAAATACAATTTAGAGTTACAATTTTAACAATATACAAAAAATTTACAGTGTTCAGATTTTGGCATGGTAATGATTACACATATTTGATAAATACATTTTATGATAATAAAGATTATACAAACGTTATTAAACAATTATGTAAATACATCCAACTACCACTTAAATATTTAATGCTGTTTCTTTTAAGTTCTTTGAGAATGAGTGATTGTTCTTAATCTTTACCTTAATTCTAGAGGGAACTCAAGAAGATACCCATGTTTTGAAAGTCTCAAATGACCATCCCTACCTTTCTCACTTTAATTTGTGAGTGTAAAATTCACAAGCATGTTGATAAAGCTATGTTTCAATATAATGTAAATGCACAGAAGATGGATAAATTGAGTAAAAATGTAAGTGAAATAATTTCAGATATTTCTTATATAGTTATCTAATTTGATAAAAGTTAAAAAGCAGCTAACTACATTTCTCTTGGTCCTTTATTCCACCAACACAAAATTAGGTTTTAATTAAATAAAAAGGTTCTTCTATTTGTTTTTAAATGTGTACTAACCTGTGTATATGTGTGTGTGTGTGTGTGTGTGTGTGTGTGTGTGTAATATATAACTGTTCAAGTAAAATGTATCATAATATGTGGCATCAGATGATCTCTACAAGAACATAGGAATGATGGCTTGCTTAAGCAGTTCTTTGTTTATTTCCCTAAACCAAATAGTATGCACCCTTCTAAAATATGGTCATTCAACAGAAGTACCAAGTATTGTTCTTTTTGTTAATGTGTCAGAGGTGCTGTGTGAGATCCCCACAGCTTTGTGCAAGTCATTCTTTTAGATGCAATTAGAATATCCTGAAGATAAATTAGAAACTCCTCTTTGTATCTTTTTTTCTGAGGTGAAATAAGACAGTGCACAGAGAGGTACTACTCTATTTTCCAACAGTCAACCTTTCACTCAACTTTAATATTACTTAATTCTATAGGGAAAAAAACAAATTTTATTACATTCCTTTTTTAAATGAGGGGGAAACTGTACAAGCATGATCAAACCTCTGTCAGAGCAGGTTAGTATTATCTTTTATTATTGCCTCGAAGTCTCTATGTAGTAGTGTCCAAGAAATTATGTTTAGGTCCATCTGAAGGAAAATAGCACTGGAGAGGCAAGAAAGGGCTTGGATAAAAGCTTCAGAGGATTTGTAGGGAGACGAAACTTGCTGCTTAAAAAATTATGTTGAGCTCTGTAGTACCTTCATTTCTTAACATGCCTTCCAAACCCAGTATTGGGATAGTTACTATCCATGTTTTAAAGGCTCATATGCAGTTTGGGGGCTTTTATACATTCAGAAAATAAAGGAATATAAAGAGTGGTCAGTATTGAAGGCTTAAAAGTAGGGCTATGAGACTCAATACTGCTAAATAAACTCCCAAATCAAAAACAAGTCCACCCACCCCAAATTCTATGAGGAGAAAGAAAATCTACAGCCATAAGTACTGAAGGACAGCATATGGCCTTGAATAAATCATACACTGAACAGTCTAAAAGCAAACAAAAAATAAATCAAACATACATATATACAAAAGAGCCTAAGAAACATCTATTCTCCTTATATCTTCAGATAACTATGTCTACCCCAGAGGAGTCTAAGTCATGAAAACAACTCATCTGCTTTTTAAAATAAAAAACTGTTTCCTATCATGCTCTATTCTCTAGACTCTATCTTTTTTGTTTGGCTGGTATAAACAAAAAGCAAAACACATATACATGCATGCGTGCATACACACACACACACACACACACACACACACACACAAACACACACACACACATATATATACTCCCTTGTAAAACATGAAAAATGCAAATACATAATGCTGGCATTAAAAACAAATTCAGTTTTATGCTTCAGAAGTTATAGGCCCTTGATCTGCCCCCTAAAAATATTTTTCCTTGACCTTATTCTTTAAATGTCCAACCACCAAAAGAAAAAAAGAAAAGGCTTCAAATGTACACGTTTCAAGTCAGTGTCTTGTTAACAAAAAGGTAGCATATTTCTCACTTTGGCCATTGTTAAAGATGCAGGCATAGAGCAGGGAATGTTAGACTAGCATGTATTAAAAAAAATGCAACATTAACAGAGCATATATCTTTCAAAAAAGACTAAAACACTAACAAATACAATCAATCCACATATTTTAAACTAGTGTAACTTTATCTACATTGAGTAAATGTTATTTTGTATACCAGACATTGCAATACTGTTCATTTCCTTTCATCATGCAAACATGCCCATTTTGTCATTAAAAAGCTTTTATTGGGTTATATTCACTTTGTTGTGCCACCCAAATTAAAAGAAAAACATGAAAATGAGAAATCCCAATAAGAGTCCCTTGAGATTTCACAAACTACTATGAACTAAAGCTGCTAGCTAACAGTGAGATGTCAGAATTTTCAGATTTGTTCATAAAAATTTCTATTATTTAGGTAGATGTTTCCCCCACTCTTTATAAATTTCACAATACATCAGGTATTTGTACCAAAACATTGTTTCATATAAAGACAAAGCAAGGGACATGAACAAAATGTTCATGCTCCTCATGGCATGGCCTGAGAGCATACAAATTTTATAGTAATTTAAAAGATAACTATGAGAGCCTGACTGTTTTTTTATATCACCACTTCTGCCTCTTTGTAGCTTCTGTAAATGAAAAGTCAGTATGTGTACTACCAGGTCTCATTTATTTCCCTCCTCTTCCCTCCAACTGATCTTACAGATTTTCTATCATCCTCCCAAGCACCTTCCATGAACAGCATTGCAAGTTGGTTAAAAAAAAAAAAAAAGAAAAGAAAAGAAAAAGAAAAAAAGAACTGAAAAGAAAATTTTACAAGGGTTTTTGTTGGTTAATTATTGATTGGCGGAGTCACTCCACTAGGAGTTTGATTTCATTGGCTAGCAGCTGGTTCATGTTGAACAGGCCCCCTGGGAGCTTGGTGAGCAGCTCTCGCTCCGTGCTTTCAGGGTCGCTGTCGACTGAGCTGGAACTTGCGCTCATGTTGTCGACAGCAGTGATGGCGGGGGGACCCAACTCCGGCTCACTAGTTTCACTGGCTGTGGACACCACGGAGAGCAGGGACATACGCCGGGTGAGCCGGCCAGAGGGCAGAAGGGAGGCGGCATAGTCCGCTATGATACCAGCTACATCTAGATTACAAGCCTTATCAAAGGCGATGAAACCTACATTTGCATTGGCCTCGCAGACACAGAAGGAGCCGTCATCTTTCATCAACAGGTCAATGCCACACACATCCATTCCCAGGATATTGGACACCTGGATAGCTAGCTGCTTCCCTTGCTCACTCAATGAGCACATCATCCCCACACCACCTGGTAAAAGAAAAACAAGGTAACAAGGTAAAAAGCTGAGAAACTTTAGAGCAAAATTAAAGTTGGTCTCCAAAACAAATCTCTTAAAAATCGAAAGAAAATTTGCTATTTATTCTAGTGTAAAATTGGGATTTTGACACGTACATTTTCTTCTTTAGGGATTTTTTTTTTTTTTCCTTTCACCAAGGATTGTATACCTACATAGTCTCTCAAAGAATCAATAATTTAGTATTTTTGTGGGACTGGGGATTAAACCCAGAGGCTTCCTACTTAGCTACATCTCTAGCCCATTTATTAGTAAAGACATTCCATATTTAACAACGGAGTTCTATTCTCACAACTAGGTTGTTAAAATGGTTACTAGATGAAGAAGTACATATAGTACATATATTACCTTTTTTTCCCTCTTTTTGAGACAAGGCTTCACCATTGAATTCACAGTGATCCTCCTGCCTCAGCCTCCCAAATGCTAGGATTATAGACATGTGCGACCACACCCTACTATAGTACATACATTATAATATTCAGAAAAATAAATAATGAAAGTAAACTCTAACTTCATGGCTTTTCTCTTATTTGCATAATTCCTACATACAGTACTATAATGCATAACAAAACATAAAACTACAGTACAGTATTTATACAAAACAACCAGCAAAAATTACAGTACTGTATAAACAAAGTGTACTGTATAAAAAAAGACGGATTATAAATTCAAGTGGCAGGTCATAAGTCTGAACTACTAATAAACAGGCAGGTTATTATTATTATTGTTATTAATTTTGAGATAGGATCTTGCCAAGTCACTAAATTAACCAGGTTTGCAATTCTCCTACCTCAACCTTCCAAAGTGCTGGGATTACAGGCATGCACCACCATGCCCAGCTTACTTGCAAACTATTAAACTTTTTCTGAAGCCCATCTTATAATAATATAGACCAAATGCAGTTGCCCCTCATCCCTTGGGATATACAAGGGAGTGAGCTCTAGAATTCCCACAAGTATCAGAATCTGAAAATGCTGAAATTATTTATACAAAATGGTATAGTAGTATTTGTATATTAGCTACACACATCCTCCTACATATTTTTCTTTCTTTTGAGATAGGGTCTCACTATGTATTTTGAGCTGGCTTCAAACACAGCAACCCTCTTGCCTAGGCATCCTGAATGCTGGCATTCCAGGTGTGCACCATTAAACATCTGGACTTCTTATATACTTCGGATCTCTAGATTACTTATAATATCTAATACAATGCAAACAATATAAAAAGTACTTATAATGTCTAGAAATAACAACAAGGCCTGTGAATGTCTGGTACAGATGCAAGCCAATCACCACTGTAGACTTGATTATACAGTACACAAAGGAGACTGCTGGAGAACAATGGTCAAACAGTGCATGCTGGTGGAGAAATACTGAGGAGATGTAAGACAGTGGAAGGTTACAGTAACTTTGCCAACACAGATTCAGCACAGTGCTTGGTGTATGGCAAGTTCAAGGTTTGCTTTTTGGAACTTTTTTTAAAAAGTGTTTTTAATCTGTTGATTACTCTCTGGAGGCAGAATCTGAAGATACAGAGGGTTTACTGAATAATTTTTATAGAGTATGATTAGGTCATTTTACTTTACGTATGGCAAATGTTACTGATATTTTTATTGACAAAAATAACAAAGATGGGCTGGGGTATAGTTCAGCGGCACAGTGCTCACCTAGCAAGTACAAGGTCCTGAGGCTGACTCCCAATAAATAAATAAATAAAACAAAGATGCAAAATAAGGACCAAAAGAATGGTAGAGTGTCTTGGAAAATGGTGATCTGAATATAGTTCTTTTCCTTGATAGCCCCTCCTCCAATTTATTTGCCACTCTTAAGAAAAAACAAAGGCTAGGAGTGTAGTAAACACCTGTAATCCCAGTACTTGGGAGGTCAAGCAAGTAGGAGGTCAAGCAAGTTGGCCTCCAACTCACAGTGATCCTCACAGGGGGATCACTGTGAGTTGGAGGCCAACATGAACTTCATACTTCATAGTGAATCCTTATCTCAAACATACTGGGAAAAAGAAAAAAAAAGTCTTTAGGTAACTAGCAGAATATGGGTGAAGCATTGGTCTTTACTAGTAGCTGATAGGAAGAATTCTCACTTGGAGCCTAGCTTCATGAAGCTGAATTAAGAGTTTACATGAGACAGCTCTATAGATCCACATAGTACAGCTCCCAGGGTAAGTGTGTCTGCTGCATTTGACCACAGAGAGGTCCAAAAGTAAATAAGCAGGACAGCTGAATATGGAGGGAAGGCTCTGACATCTGCTGGCCTGAAGACATATGGAATGCTCCGAACACCCAGGTCTGATTGAGCTGAGTGAGCCTTGATGTAACCACAAGACAAAAATCTAACTACCACTTGAATGGAGGAAGTAAGAACATGCTGGACATCGTACTATATGCCAGGAACCCCAGCACCCATGAGGCTCAGGCAGAAGGACCACTATAAGTCTGAGGCCAGTTTGAACTAAATCATGAGATCTTATCTCAAACAAAACAGCTCAGTGGGATTTAGCTCAGTGGCATAAGTGCCTGCCTTGTAAGCACGCAGTCGTGAGTTTGATCACCGGTACTGACCAAAAATGAATAAAAAAAGAAACAGGGGGAAAAAAGAACACTTTAAAGCAGAGTCATGGGGGGCTGGGGATTTAGCTCAGCTGTGTTGAGCGCCTGCCTAGCACAAGTTCTTGAGTTTAATCCCTAGTACCCAAAAAAAAGAAGAAGAAGAAGAGGAGTCAAATTGGGGATTTAGCTCAGTGGCATAAGTGCCTGCCTTGCAAGTACAGTCATGAGTTCGATCCCTGGTAAAAGAAGAGTAGATCTCAACACAAAAAGACTGAAATGTAAAACAAAAACATGATTACCCAACTAAAAAACTCAGTTAAGAAACTGAGGACAGTCATTTTTAAGATTTAATTAAGAAAATCAAACATCAAAATTATTTCAACATGAAGTGTTAGATGAAATCATAATTTAAAAAAAAATATCTGAAAACTGAATCAAAAAATTCTCAAAGAAAAGGAAACTAGCAGATGAAAGGCATGCAACAAAAAAAGGTTTTCCTCAAATTGTAGGAAAATCAATCTGCCTATTAAAACTTATTAAAATCAAAGTTAGAAGGGGTTGGGGATTTAGCTCAGCAGCGTAAGCGCCTGCCTTGCAAGCAGGCAGTCGTAAGGTTCAATCCCTGGTACCGATAAAAACGAAAAAGACCAAAAAAAAAAAAAAAATCAAAGTTAGAGCGAAAAAAAATGACATGTAACTGAAAGTATCTGGAAAAAAAATTTGATCTCCATAAAACAAGAAGAAAAGAAAAGAAAAGAAAAGGCTAAATGCGGCAGTATACACCTGTAATCCCAGTACTCTTAGGTGCTAGAACGAAAACCTCAGTTCGAGCCCAGCCTGGGCAACTTAGCAAGACCGTGTCTTAAAATATAAAAGGCTAGAGATGTCATTCAGTACAAAAGCTCTGGGATGCATTTCCAGTACCACAAAAACATCTTATTAAGAATAAATTACTGGGGCTGGGGATTTAGCTCAGAGGCATAAGCACCTGCCTTGCAAGCAGGTGGTCGCGAGTTCGATTCTGCCAGTACCGATTTTAAAAAAAAAAAGAAGAATAAATTACCACCAGAGGGTAAGCTCAGTGGGACAAGTGCTTTCCAGGCAAGTGCCAGGTCATGAGTTGGATCCCCAGTACCAAGGGGGGAAAAAAAAAAAGAATAAACTACCTACAAAGGAAAAAAATTTGAGTAAATTTGGCCCTTAACTGCAACAATTTTCAAGATAACTGAGTTGACACTAGACTCTTACCATATAACTTATCTCAGCCTAGATACCACTCTCAGTTCAGAGAGAAAGATCTATAAGGGTAGCTGCCACATTCCTAGTCAGAACAGGCAATCTCAGATGAAAATAGGGAGTAAACAATGGTGAAAAACGAATTTTTCAATCTAGGTCATTTTATATGCATGAAAAAGAAGACCTAGAATGGTTAGTGTTAAGCTGAAACAGAGATACAACAAGAGAAATCCAAATCTAGATTCAAACCGAAACTAATGAATGATTGTAGGGCTGAGTGTTTCACATCAGTAATCCCAGCTATTCTGCAGGCTGAGGTCAGAGGATCCCTAGTACCAGGCCAGCCTCTGCTATAAAATAAAAAGATCTGGGGACTTAGCTCAGTGATAGAATGTTTACCTAGCATGTGTAAGGCTGTGTGTAATTCAATCCCCTGTACACAAAGTCTCAGTAAGACTAAATAAATACCTAAAATTTAGCTACAAAGTATTTATGACAGATTAAACATGATTTTAGAAATCTGAAATCTAAATAAAGTAGATAAAGAGATAGTGGATAAGGCAAAACAATTTCATAGCCTCTTATCTCTGGACTAGATTATATACCTACATACAAGTTTTTTCCCTCTGTTAAATATAATAATAAATAATCATGTGTCTGGCCACAGCAAAAACCTTACCTTTTTTTCAGTGCTGGGGACTGAACGAACCTAGGACTTCTCTCATAGGAGGCAAGTGCTCTGCCTCTGGGCCACACTACCTGCCCAAAACTTTAACTAAGACTTTATAGGCCTTATTTTCTGATAATAATTCAAGAAAATTAGTGACAGCCAAAGTAACCAGTAGTATAGTTTAATAGTAACTACATAGAACCTATAAAGCTGATCCCCTTGAAGAGGAAAATACACACACACACACACACACACACACACACACACACACACACACACACAGAACCATCTGTAGGAGAAAAATGCTGCCATCCAAAACTTTCCCCCAAAGCCGGGCATAGTGGCTCACACCTGTAATCCCAGCACTTGGGAGGCTGAGGTGGGAGGATTGTTGCCAAGCTCGAGACCAGCCAGGGCTACAAAGTAAGCTCAAGGCCAGCCTGAACTGCACAGTGAGACCCCGTCTCAAAAAAAACAACAACAAA